ATCAAGCAGACCAGAAGATAGCGGCTAATTGTCCAGAAATTGATCTGGTTATTGGCGGTAAGTTTTCAATATATAAGTAAATAAAAGAATTTATATTTAATTACACACCGTCTATTATATAATTACATTCTTTTATGTGTTCAGGTCATTCGCACTCATTTCTATATACCGGGAACGCGCCCGATGTGGAACCTATTGAGGGCCCCTATCCGACAATTGTGAAGCAGCAGAGCGGCAAAGAAGTGCCAGTTGTGCAAGCATATGCCTACACAAAATATTTAGGAAAATTGCATTTAAAGGTAAATTATCATAAAATGATTATTTTTACTTGTGCTTGATTCATATCGCATACAATAATTTTAGTTCGACAAAGACGGAAATCTGATCGAAATTGATGGCACGCCAATTTTGTTGAACGCTGATGTGCCACGCGAAAGCGATATTCTACAATTACTTGATGTGTATCGTCCAAACATTACCGATCTGGAGAACACAATTGTAGGCCATACAAAGGTGCAATTAGATGGTCGTTCGACTGTATGTCGCAGTGTGGAATGTAATTTAGGCAATTTACTTGCTGACTCAATGATTTATGCTCGAGTTATCGAAGATCAGGGTGGTGCTTTCTGGACTGATGCACCAATTGCAATTATGAATGGCGGAGGTATTTGGTAAGAAATATTCATATGAATAAAAAATTTATACTTTTTTCGAAATAGGTATACGTTCCGGAATCGATAAGCGCTCGGATGGTTCAATAACAGAAAATGATGTTATAACTGTTCTGCCGTTTAAGAACAATTTGTATGTGATTAGTATATCTGGAAAGCGACTACGCGCAAGCCTCGAATTGTCGGCCAAAAAACGCCTTCAAGATTCTAATGGCGGTTTTCTACAATTTTCTGGTTTACATGTCACATACGATTACCGCAATGAGGAGGGTAGTCGGGTTACTTCGGTGGAAGTACGCTGTGGTGAATGTGATATGCCAGATTACGAACCGTTGGACGATTCCAAAACATATAAGATTATATCTACAGCATTCTTGGTAAATGGTGGAGATGAATACAATTTGGTTGAGAATGGTACAGAACCCATATTGATGAAATGGAGTGATGATGAAGCGTTAGTTGAATATTTAAAACATCGTGATTTCATATATCCTGAATTGGAAGGTCGAATTGAGGTTATTGAGTCAAGCACCTCCGCCGCATCGATTGCCAAATCCATTATAAGCCTAACTCTTGCCAGTTTAGTAATGTTTTTTCTTCGAGCCATCCATTAGATGTATTTCTGCTTTATAAACAATCACCAAAATAATATTTTTTATTGCATTAAACAATGTACTTTTAATGAATAACAAAAATTTATATAAATCTTTGTGGGGGCATATTTCAGATATTAATTATTAATAGCACAAACGCAATTAATTTTGAATCTAAAAAATATACATTGCCAAAAACTATTCGTGCATCCTGCTTTATATAATAAATAATAAAAACATATGTTCAAATGCATTTTGCTTTATTAGGGGAGGGGCATATCGCCTAATTTTAATCAAGCAAGTACTAATTGAAGCTTCTTTTCGTGTAAAATTTCTAATATTTTAAAAGCGTACAGAGGACTACAGAGCATAAAATAATCCGGGGTATTGTTATATAATTAGCAGTGAATAATTTAAAATTATTGTAAAATAGAAAAAAATTTATATGTAAAAGGAAACTCTCTTAAAAAATTGGAAAAAACCTAAAGTAGATTTCACATCATTTTTAGGTTTTGGTCCCCCATTTCCTTTGAAACAAGTCTATTTCGAAAAAAGATTAAACTAATAATAAAGAATTTAGCATATATGTATGTATTTGTAAATATTTATTTATTATAAGTTCTTGTTTTGCACATAAGGCTTGGGGTAAAGATTGATTTTTAAATCACAAAGAAATCGTTCAAAATTTTGCACATTTTATCAATACTAGTTTTCATTTATACCCAACTGTATCAACTTCAAATTGATTAGACGCTCACTCTCATCCCACAGCCATTTAGCCAAATTGTCATCTCGTGCAACTGTCGTAGTTTTTTTCGGTTGACAATCAGCAAAATAAGCTCCGCTAACTAATTCCAAGTCTGGATCCAAGGCAGCGTATATTGTAGTTTGCGCTCCATTAGATGTGGTTTTGAAAAACGGCCATTTCAAAACGGTTGCAACAGGTCTTTATAAAAAATATTAAATTTATTTTAGTAAACGTTAAAAAAAATATTATACATACCGAAAAACTGCGTTATTAATAATAGTATGATGTCTCATTAATTCAGATTCAACTACACCGGGATGTAATGAATTTATAGTTACTTTTGTACCCTGTAATCGCTTAGCTAATTCATGTGCAAATAAAATGTTAGCAATTTTACTGTGTGAATAAACTTTTGAAGGACTGTATGAATGTTCACTAAGAAAATCATTTTTTTTAAAGGGTCCAAATTTATGCGCTAAGCTTGATAGAACTACAATCCGACTGGGTGCTGATTTCTTTAGAATCAATATATATAGCTATGAATAAAATTTTTTACTAATAATTGCACAATAAATACCTTTAGAAGATCAAGAAGCAAATTAGTTAAATAGAAATGTCCTAAGTGGTTGACACCAATCTGCATTTCGAAACCATCTTGAGTTACCATACGAGGACAGTGCATAATTCCAGCATTATTTATCAAAATATCCAATCTCGACTCAATTTTTTTAAAGCTAATAATTTAGTTTTCAATTTACTAGTTTATGTCAGGTAAAATAAATTATACATATGTACTTATCAACAAAATCCTTAATTGATTTTAGGGAAGCCAAATCAAGTTTCATGCCGAAAATGTTTTTGTTACAAGTATCTTTGATGAGTTCTTGCCGTGCCTGAAATACGAAACATTATATGCACCTATGTACTAATAACTTGGTATAACACTCAGATTAGTATTGGGGCAATTGTTTTAATTTACGGTTTCTTTTTATTTAAATGATGTCTTAAAATAAATTCATTCTTAATTTTTCCGAAATTCCGTTTTTGAAACTTTGTAGCACCTGTCACATAAGTTCGACCAAAAAGTGTAGTACCTCATTGAAATAAGAGTTATACATATAAGATGCCCATTAATTGACCTTGTAATGAACTTACATACTATAACTAATAATAATATTTTCAATAAGCTCAATTTTGAAATTCGAAGGCAAATATTTCGATTCCGAATTCCAATTTCGAAAAAGAGTCACATAGTGTAACATTATAACAATTAGAATTCAAATGGAAATAATTTGTTTAATCGTAGTAATATTCACCTTTTCACATTTTTCCATATCACGACAAGCCATATAGATAGTAGCTCCACGCTTAGCAAGTTCGCGAGCAGTCTCTTTTCCAATGCCTGTGTTTGCTCCTGTTATAATTACCACTTTCCCCATTGCGGTGGTACTCTTCCGATATTTGCCTCCTTGCATATACAATCTGTTAAAAATGTGCTGTGGTCATTCATAGTATTAAATATATCAAATTATGGAATACCTGATAAACCAAATCGCACCGGCTGCAATAAATAACCAAGTATATGGTATTTGCTCCATTATATTTTAATAATATTTGTACGCAATTATAACAATCAGATACAATAAAAATTTCACAACAGTTTATTTTTTTTTTTTAATATGCGTCGCAGAATAAAAATAAATTCTTTAATGGATGATTCTGAATTTTATTCCAGACATAAAAATGATTGTTAATAGCTAAACGAGATAAAGCAATGCCAGAGTTGCACAAACGTTCATGGATATAAAGTTATTCATAAAAATACTCTTTCATAAAAATGCTAATGAGACCAACACATGAAATTATTGTTTTCAAATGATTCACACGGAATAGTAAAATATTTCTCTTCTTTATTTTACGATTACATTATAATTATAAATTATATTTGAAATCAGCGCTGAATATTCAATAATACTGAAGTTGCTTTTTGATGATAGTGCCACCTGGAGGTAAAACTTGAACTAGTTTGACAGAAGCGCCATCTACAACGGAAGTTTGAGCAATAGCGACGCCTCAAAAGATGGCGTTCGGTTTTACATTCGGTTAAAGAAGAAGCACACACGGAAAGAATAGCGTAAAAATATTGTGAAGTAATTGCGCGAAAATCTATTAAGAATTTATGCAAAAATATGCAGATTTCGTAAAAAAAACAAGAAAAGTGAGCGTTCGATGTCTACTACAGAGCGTAATATTTATTAAGTAAATATGTAAGAATAAAATATGTTTTTTATTGTGTATCGGGGGTAGTGACAGCCACAGCGGCAACTATCGCTGATGTGAACTGTTAAGACGATAAGAAAATGCAAAAGTCGAGAAATATATGAGAACGAGCCGGTATATGAAGTAGCTCTAAGTGAAAAATAAATTGTTAACAATATATTTAAATTGTGTAAATATGTAAAAGCATTCGCAGAAGTCCTAAGATTGTTAAGCAGAATTACAGATATTTTTATACATTATCCAGTGATGCCATTGCAAAATATAAAAACTTGATTGGGGTATTGTTTGGTATGAAAACTTTGATTATAATTAAAAATGTAATTTGTGCCTCCTCGATCCATATATAGATAAGAAATAGTTATATCCAGTTTTATGGGTTCTGCAATAAATAGTTTGAAAAATATATGCTTAAACTATCAACAAAAATAATAAATATTTAGGAACTCGGCAACTCTGTTATCCTGAATAACTCGCGATATTTACATTTACTAAGTTTTTCTTTTCATTTTCATTCCCTGTATGTTTTGCGCATATAGCGTTGCGTTCTAACAATAATAATTAATATGTGAATAAATGCAATCCTGAGTTAATAACATTTTATTAAACAGTACATATCTTTTTTCTCATACAGTCTTCGAAGTATTCGTAAAAAATTACAAAAATTGTCCGCTTTTAAACAAATAAATCGGCATATTTTCATAAACAAATATGACGGACGTAAAATATCCCTCAGGTTGTCGGCCGCTGACTGAGGATTTAGGGACGGACGAGCTTATCCGCAGACTTAAGGTAAGAGATTAAATGCTACAAAAAACGCTTTGATTTCATTACTTTAATTTCTAGACTCTAGCTCATGCGTTACAAGCTATGGGCCAAGATGAAAAACACGTTCCTGATTATATACAATTAGCACTGATGCTGGTAGATGAATATTTTCTACAACATTCATCGCGCGATGTTCAACTTTTAGTGGCATGTTGCATTGCTGATATATTGCGGGTTTTTGCCCCCGAGGCACCTTATAAAGACCAGGACCAAATCAAAGCTATATTTATGTTTTTCATTAAACAGCTTAACGGTCTCAAAGATCCAAAAGATGCGTCTTTCAAAAGATATTTTTACCTGCTTGAAAATTTAGCCTTCGTAAAATCTTTCAATATGTGCTTTGAAATTGAAGATTGCCAAAAAATTTTCTGTCAACTCTTTGCTATGATGTTTAGAATTATTAAGTAAGTGTCCACATTTTAAAAATATTACTTCATTGAATGAAATTAATGTACAATTGTATTTTAGCGATGATCACAGCACCAAAGTAAAAAATTTCATGATTGATATCATGAGTCCTCTTATTACGGAAGCTGACAATTTAACTACACCATTATTAGATTTAATCTTGATTAACATTGTAGAGCCTCAAAAATCTGCTAACATTCACGCCTATCATTTAGCGGAGCAATTGATTCAAAAGACAAGTTACGCATTGGAACCCATCATAAAAATTGTATGTTAACTATATTATATTGTATATTGAAAATAATCAATTTTTTTTCTAGTTTTTTAATCAAGTCCTTATATTGGGTAAAATTGATAAAAATATTGCGGTTACAGCAAAAATGTATGATCTCATCTACGAACTATATCAAATTAGTCCGAATCTGATGTGCTCTGTGCTGCCACAATTGGAATGCAAACTAAAGTCTACAACTGAAATAGAGAGGATGAGTAAGGAATTTTCTTCTAATATTTTTTTTTTCTACTTTGAATAGTGAATTTATGAATTTTTGTTTTATTCCAATGCAGAGGCGGTATCTTTATTAGCTCGAATGTTTTCCGAAAAGGACTCACAGCTCTCAAAAAAACATACCTCATTATTGCGAATGCTTTTGGGTCGTTTTTGCGACATTGCTGCAGCGATACGTGTTAAGTGTGTACAATCTTCAATGCATTTTCTATTAAATCATCCACATTTGCGAAAAGAAATAACCGATTGTTTACACGCCCGTCAACATGATTCCGATGAAACAGTCCGCTATGAAGTGGTTATGGCCATTGTTGCGACGGCCAAAAGGGAATTTAATATAGTATGTGAATCACAGGATCTATTGCATATTGTACGAGAACGCACGCTGGATAAAAAATTTAAAATCCGTAAAGAAGCTATGAATGGTCTGGCATTTATTTACAAAAGGGTTTTGTGTGAACCCAATGACCTATCGCTTGACTTAAAGGAATCTGTAAGTTGGATAAAAAATAAAATATTACATGGTTATTATATGCCCGGAATAGAGGATCGGCTCCTCGTTGAACGTTTACTTATCACCTGCCTCGTACCGTACAAATTGCCTTCAGAGGAAAGAATGAAGAAGTTATACCTCCTTCTGGGTACACTCGATGATAATGCTATGAAAGCGTTTATGGAAATTCAAAAAAATCAAATGAAAACACGAAAAACCGTTAGTGATTGGGTAAAAATGCATCACACCAAAGAACTTACACAAAAAATGCAAAACCAACTTAACGTTAAACAAGCCATAATTTGCAAGTAAGTTGTCACATAATAAAATTAATAGCAAATATTAATAAACATAATGTATATATAGGTTACTGCCAGATCCTCTTAAAGCGACTGAATTTATAGCGAAATTCAGCGTCAATATGCGCAAAGATGCATCTTTACTGCGTTATATGGAGATAATTTTAAAGCGGGATGTGTCTTGCAAAGAATGTGCTGACACTATGTCACTGCTTCTAAAGAAACTTGGAAATCCAATGGCGGCGAACTTATATTACAATACCGTCAAAATGTTGATTGAACGAATTGCGTCAGTCATGGTAGATAAGGAATCAATCGGTATTTTAATAAGGTAAGATCATAGTTTATATGAGGCAATTTGGAAATTATTGATAATTTTTTTTGCAGCCTTGTTGACCAATGCATGCAACGTGGCAAAATTGTAGAAGAAATGGGTGTACCCAGTGAGGAAGCCGGTGAACGTGGTCTTAAATTCTTATGTGTAAGATTAATGACTATTTTATCCTAGTTGTTGCCTAACCTTTCTTTCATGTAGATGCTTTCGTATATATTTTCTGCGCATTTTTTCACCGATGAAACCTTAGGACACATGATCGCCTTATTAAGTCACGAGGAGGATTACGCTGCACCTCTTATACTGAAGGCTCTCGTACATCTAGGCCGGTATCAACCCTTATGTGACATTAATCCAACTGTTTTGGAAGCACTGGCTTCAATTTGCAAAGACTTTGCATTAACAGGAACGGTAAAGCAGGCCAAACACGCAGTGCGTTGCATATTTGTTAACGTGCAAACACAAATGGCCGGAAGCGCTGGTGCTGATTCTATCAATCCTGCATCAAAAACGCCTATAATTCATCCAATATTTAATGAAATCATTGAATCTTTACGTGTTACACTCTCTCCACAAGATCCATATCAACACACGAAAATTTGTACGCTGGGACATATTGCCTACCATATGCCACAAGCCTTTCTGACACCAGTCAAAAATATGATTGCACGACGTGTTGTCAAGGAGTTACTGATTCAAGGCGTTTCCGAGACACGGGACTGCGACTTGCCGGTTGGTGACTGGTGTAGTAAAGAAATGTTGCCTGCTGACACACTTTGCAAATTGGACGCTCTTAAAACAATGGCACGTTGGCTAATCGGTTTGCGTTCAGATGAACATGCAGCACAGAAAACATTTCGTATGCTGATCGCTTTCATAAATCAGCGTGGTGATTTGTTGGAACAGAATCGCTTGTGTCCCGCTGAAAAATCATGGCTAAGGCTTAGTGCTGCTTGTGCTATGCTGAAGATTTGTGAGCAAAAAGGAGTTGGAGATCAATACAATGCGGAACAATATTTCAATTTATCGCAAGTCATGGTGAGAACCATTGAATATATATCTAAATAGATACTTTTGCGTCATGCATGTTTATCCCTTTTGCGTTCTTGCAGTGTGATCCTGTGTCTGAGGTGCGCGATATATTCGCTCAGAAGTTACATAAAGGATTGGGCAAAGGATTACCCAATAAATGCTTACCACTCGATTTTATGGGATATTATGTTCTAGTTGGTCGTGAAACTGAAAAAAGGTGCGCCCACATTAACCTCATTCATTTCTTTGGGATACGAATTTTTAATATTATCTGGTTGCTTATTTATAGACAATCTGAGGTCATTCGGAACTATGTGGAAATGGACGTCAACAAAAGGCGTGAATATATCAARACAATAGCGACAATGTGTAAGTAGCTCGTAGTAATTTATCACAAAAGTATTATTAAAACAAATTTAATTTATAGCGACTGAGAGCAAAAATGATGCGCAAACCGCTTACCTGTTRCCTGATTTCATGTTAGCGTTTGCGATACCCGTTTTAGCACATGACCCAGCCTTCACCGACTACGAAGATCGTGTACAGCTGAAACAAGTGGAGAAATGTTTGCGCTTTATTATTGAACCGCTTATGTCGAAGCGTGAAGCGTTCTCTTACAGCTTCTATGTGAATCTGATACAGATGATGAAAAACCACCAGGATACGACACCGAATGCAGAAGATAATTCATATAACTTAGTAAGTGAAAAGATAGTTATTTCTTAAAATTATTTATATTTTTTTCTTAATATAGAAAATGTGGGCAGCATGTGATCTAGCACTGTACATAATCAACTCGAAAATAGGCGATGGCAGCACATCTTCAAACTCTTTTCCTGTAACAATAGCCTTACCAGAAATGTATTATAAACCTTTGGATAAACCGGATAACAATACAAAGGTATACATACCTTTAGACACTTACACATTAGCGTCAGGTCCAATATCTGCGGCATCAAAGTTAACCTCATCAACAGCAGYCTCAGCACCGGTCGTTAAAAAAATCAATACTTCGGCTGCCAGCAGTGCGAATCTTACATTGCGTTTAGTTGGCGATAAACGAACAACTGATCATCTGCCGAGCAATGAAAACTCGCCAACCAATGCACAAGTGAGTAAACCGAGGAATAGGATAAACTAAAGCAATATCTATTACAATTTGTATTTTTATTCTTAGGATAACGCTGTCACRTACGACGATGGTAGTATGGCTGAGCCACCAGCCAAGCGAACGCGCGGTCCATTGCGGGCAGGAAGAACCGTTTCATAAAATCTGTATAATGGCGTGGTCAAAGTAACCAGACGTCCATATTTACATCCCTCCTAAACCGGCAAAGCGCCTTGGAGAAATCATACGTACTATGCAGGGAATCGTAACAACATAATTAAATACACACACACCTATTCGTTACATTTGGTAACGGAAATTTGTACATTTTTAAAACGATAAAGAAGCCCTATTAAATCCTTACTAGTAGGTGAATTTTTATTTTTWTTTTTTTTATTGTTAGACACGCTTTTCCTGTTACTTCTACATCTGGCGCTCAAAACAGCAGATTTAAACTCTCTGGCCGAGTCTAATGTTTGTGTGTATGTTTTTCTTTTATTTTTTTGAATATGTATAACTGGGAGTCTTGGCCGATGTTATGGATTTGATTGCTATTCAGCCAAGCTTCTTGTAATCCCAGATTTATTGTTATGCCTCCTCATTATTACAATTACACAAAGAACATAGTAATAAAAAGAAATTGTTTCGTTTATATACAATAATATAAAACAAGAAAAGTAATTAATTTAGTTAGCAATTAAGTATTTATGTATAACATATATGCCTCTAAAATCACATATAAATATGCATGCAAACATACGAAACGAGAAAACTGGATTGAATATAATATATTTAAAAATAATGTTTGGCTTTATTATCTCCCAAAGGTGTATCGTATTTCTGACGAAAATTTATTAAATAACTGCTTTAATCKATTAATATTTTTTGAAGAAAAAATTACATTTTTATTTCATTTTAAAACTTTTGACAATCGCATAATTCATATATAACAGCAGTTAGACTTTTAAACCTTTTTCACAATTTGCACGACATCTTCATCGTTAAGAATATGCTCAATGCCAACCTTTTGTGGTTGATGTTTAACAGAAGAACCCCAAACTAAAGCGCTAATAAATTAAATTTTTTTTTAATTAGAACCAATTATTTGAAATAGGAAATACTTACTATTTGAATTCCTTYGCAATTGAACGATGCAGCTTATTACAAAAATCTTGTATACTTGTGCGTTCATTATGTAGGACAATAGGGGAATTATAGTCCGGAAGTTGACCCTTAGGTTTAGTATAACTGTAAAAAGAAACAAATTCGTAAATTAAAAAAAGATTTTCCAATCCATAAAATAGTATAACTCACATTCGAACCAGTTTGAGATATTCCCACATCATTTCAAGCAAATCGTCAAAATTCCATCGATGATGCGCCGAAATCGGCACACAATGTGGGATCTTATAAATAACGTCCAGTTCTTCAATGGATATTTGATCAATTTTATTCAGCAAGTAAATACAAGGTATGTAGATCCGGTTTCCTTCAATAACATCAATTAAATCATCACTTGTCGCATCATATCGTAATGTTATATCAGCATTATGTATTTTATATTCAGATAGGATAGTCTTAACTAGATCAGCATCCAGCTCAGATTGCGGCACCATGCTGTTCAGATTGACGCCTCCCTTATCTTTACGTTTGAAATAAATATTTGGAGGTTTTTTGTTCAAACGAATACCAAATCCTTCCAATTCATGTTCAAGTAGTTTTTTATGCCCTAGAGGCTTAAGACAATCAAGAACCATAAAAATTAAATTACACGTTCGAGCCACCGCAATAACTTGACGGCCTCGACCTTTGCCATCTTTCGCACCTTCTATAATTCCAGGCAAATCCAAAAGCTGCACAATAAGAAGAAGATAAAAGAATTACTTTTAATAATTTATGGAATTTAAATGAGTTACTTGAATTTTTGCGCCCTTATATTTAATACATCCAGGGACCGTGGTTAGGGTTGTGAATTCATATGCTGCGACTTCACTGTAAACACCTGCCAAATTAGAAAGCAAAGTTGATTTTCCAACTGACGGGAACCCCACGAATCCAACTCGAGCGTCTCCAGTTTTTGCAACTTCAAAGCCTATAAAACCATCAATTTACCCGAAATTATATACATGTATCTAATTAATATTATCACCATCGCCACCGGCGCCACCCCCACCGCCCTTTGGGGATATTAACTCACGACGCAGCTTTGCTAACTTAGCCTTTAAAAGCCCCAAATGAGCCGATGTCGCTTTGTTCTTCTGGGTGCGTGCCATCTATGATTTTATCCCAAATTTTCCATGGTATTGGTAGACATACCATACATTTGTAGGCGGCATATAATGTTAAGGTTAGTTTTTATTTAGTTTGCTATTTCACTTGGAATTTTAGTTTTACCTCGGATTCGATGGCAGCAATTTTTTCCAGTATTGTACTCATTTTGCCGTTCTTTCCTCAAACCTTTTATATTAAAAACTGGAAATATTGTTTTCAATAATAAAGCTTTTGTTGACAAAAAAACCTTAATAACGCGTGGACAATCGAGTGGAGTTCCATTAAAGAGATTTGTCGAATGAAAAGTTGCAGACGTCAAATGTCAAAAATTAGAAATGTTTAAAAACATTATATGTTGCCAGTCTTTGAAAGTAAAGTTTTATTATATTTTTACAATGTTTAACATTGAAATAACAATTAATATACTCCAAATAAACCTGTTACTAAAAGAAGAATACAGAAAATAATTTACAATAAGTGGAATATTTATAATTTTATTTTTACTTTTTTTCCATATCTGAAAACTTGATATAATCGATTTATTTTTCTATGTTGTAGTGCTAACAAGTGGCATCACTAAGCTTGTTTTGGAGGAAGCTTATAGTTTGTGGCCACTGTGGGAAACATTGGTATCCTTCTAGCGACCACCAAAAAGATAGGAATGAAGAAATTGCTAGCAGTTTTCAATCATCGCAGTGAACGTTTCCAAACTTTAGTTTCATATATAATTATATTGATTTTGACTATATGTGGTGTTTGCATCGTGTGCAATATATTTAACTTACAGAATGAAGCTGGACGAAACAACAATAAAATTCCTTTGGACCTTAGTCATGTACGTGAAATCTTGTTATCAAAAGACAGCGAGGAAGCACGCAACCGGGATGACAGTTGTAGAATGTGGGATTGTATAAATTTATACAAATGCGGACAAAAAGGACACGACCGTCTTTCTGTTTACGTATATCCCCTTCAAGAATACATCGATGAGGTAAAAGGGGAAGCAGTCTCAATTCTTACTCGAGAATACTACCAAATACTCGAAACGGTTGTACGAAGTCGATATTATACGCCAAACCCAAATGAAGCCTGCCTATTCCTGCCAAGCATTGATACTTTGAATAGTAACTTAGTTAAATCACGTGCAGTGGAACGAGCACTAGCGATGCAAAATTATTGGGATAATGGTGAGAATCATATTATATTTAATATGATACCCCGGGCAGATGGGAGTACTTTGAAAACTGATCGTGCCATAATGCTTGGAGGAGGTTTTGATTCGTGGAGCTATCGGAACGGATTTGATTTATCATTACCTATCTATAGTCCCGCACAACAACATGTGTCAGATTTATCGCCAAAATCCACACATTTACCTCGAAAAAATTTATTGGTAATAATTTTACCAAACGTGTATCCAAAATACCATAGACAAATACATTCACTAGTGGACGATAACCCAAGCGAAGTGCTACTGCTTGATAAATGTGTTAAAAATGATGTAGATTATTCGTCAAAAAATATGCTACGTTGTAATAGCAGCCGTGGTAAAAGTGTTGAATATCCACGGGCATACGAAAAGGGAACCTTCTGTTTATATTCACATAGTGTAAACGCAGGTAAATCCGATTTAATGGAAATATTAGCCTATAACTGCATTCCCTTGATTGCTGTTGATAATTTTATATTGCCGTTTGAGGACGTTCTTGATTGGACATTATTTTCAATAAGTATTCGTGAGGCAGAAATTCATTCTATAGTTAAAAAGTTGAGCAGAGTATCGCATACAAAAGTTTTTGAGCTACAACGTCACGGCCGCTGGGTGTACAATCGATATTTTAAAGATTTAAATACCATAACTCTTACATCATTGGAAATTTTAGAAAATAGGATATTTCCTCATCGAGCTCGTAGCATAATGGATTGGAATAAACCAGATGATAATTATCGAAGTACTTTCAACCCACTATTTTTGCCCGTCATTTCTCCCAAGTCACAAGGATTTACCGCTGTGATATTAACATATGATCGAGTTGAGAGCCTTTTCACGTTAATTCAAAAGTTAGCTATGGTACCATCTCTTCAGAGCATACTTGTTATTTGGAATAATCAAAATAAGATGCCACCACATTGTAATATATAGTATTCAATAAATCTTAAGTCATATACCTTAATTGATGCCTTACATTTCAGTATCCTCATTTCCCACAATTCCGAAACCGCTAAAGGTCATTCAAACGCGTGCAAACAAGCTGTCAAACCGCTTTTATCCCTACAATGAGATTGAAACTGAAGCAATTTTAACGATTGATGATGACATTAATATGCTTACCACTGATGAACTGGATTTCGGGTAATCATTAGGGACACCTAAAGAATAATTAACGAAACTTAATTAATTTTGCTTAATTTTTAGATACGAAGCTTGGCGAGAGTTTCCAGATCGCATAGTAGGATTTCCGAGTCGAATTCATGTGTGGGACAATGCATCGATGCATTGGCGTTACGAGTCAGAATGGACTAACCAAATTTCAATGGTTCTCACTGGCGCCGCTTTTCATCATAAATTTTGGAGTCATATGTACACATATGCAATGCCTGGAAATATTAAAGAATGGGTGGACCAGCATATGAATTGCGAAGATATCGCTATGAATTTTCTTGTTGCAAACGTTACTAATAAGCCCCCGATAAAGGTCACACCACGGAAAAAATTTAAATGTCCTGAATGTACTAATACAGAAATGCTGTCWGCTGATTTAAATCACATGCGCGAAAGATCAGCTTGCATCGACAAGTTTTCTAGCATTTACGGTCGCATGCCGTTGCGCAGTGTAGAATTTCGGGCAGATCCCGTGCTCTTTAGAGATAACTTCCCTGAGAAATTAAAGCGATTTAATGATGTTGGGAATTTGTAAATAATACTCGAAAAATATAATTTTTTAAGCATCGACTTATAATATTAGSTAAAAAATATATTTGAATGCCATATAATTATATAGTGTGTAAAAATAACGATTAAGTTTAAGTGAACGGTTTGAAAGTAACGTGTATTATGTATTACGTTGCATTTCACGAGCTTATATTGTGAATGAATAAAAACATTGCAATATTTAAATAAACAAGAAATGGTCAAGGTTATTTTGGAATGGCAAATAATGTTATAACWCATACCTACTGTAAATTGTTAAAATTCCGTTATAAACGTTTCTGATAAAAGGAAACGAACTTTATTAAACGGTAGATATTGAAGGGAAGTCGCATAAAATTAGTGGAAATGTATGCTTCCAGTAAGTATTCATAGAATTCGCCAAAATTTAGAGTAAAATGTGTACATGTTATTAGGTAATCGAAAGTATTCGGTGGAACCTAGTTCCAAACCATCTAACTCGTGTCAACGATTTGTGGCCGCTTTACATGGAAAGTTTGAAACCGCTGAAAACTTCTTACACAAAAGCTACACAATTGACAAACCTTTAAAACAGATGAAGTTATCCAATGAAGACTTCTTTACAAACCCACAACCTGAAGGACGATTTAATACCACATTCTCAACACCGAATGCACACCGAAATTCGGAATTTGTCCTCCTACCACTTCCAAAACCAAAAGTCACATCATCGGTACAAATAAAGGGGAGTTTGAATAGAACTATTGACGTGGTTGTTAAAGACTTTCGCAACGAGTCCTTTGATGTGAAAGGCGCAAATTTACCAATGAAAGAGCAGTCGAATTCAATCAAGAATGGGCGAAATAAAATAGCACTAGTGGGACGTGTGGACTTTTGTTTAAAAATTCATAAATTGTACCCAACATTGGATGCCTTATGGGACGTTTACGGTTTGTAAAAAACTAATATTTAGATTTTGAAATTGTATTATTTTTGCGGATTCGTATTTCCTTAGGGCAATTAAAAAAGATAATTACTGGCAAACAAAGAGGAGAAAATGTCTTATTATTGCGAAATTTCGAAGGAGGTCCAATACTTCAAAGTATTTATTATGACTTTACGTTGGTTGGATTCGATTCAGGTTTGTCTGCCATTATTCAAAACCTCATTTCTATAGTTTCTTTGCCTAGGTTGTTATTTACGAGCCGTTGGGCGATTTATTGGAGAAAATCGGCTACAAACGTTCAAAATAAACAGGATCGAAAAGAAAGAGTATATGCAGTCGATTCGGTACTTTAACAGAATTCAAAACGTATCCTCCTTTGCGTTGCTACAGAGCGGAAATTAGAATTTTCTTCAAACATATAATATTAAAACATAGTGAAATATATTTTTTTAAACATCAAATATAACATCAAATATATGAAAATAATCAGGTATATTTGATTAGACATCTACAAATATGTACACTTATGCATTTGTAGGTATTAAAGGATACTAATACTTTTTTGAATACTTAAGATAATTTGTACTTATTTTTTTTTAATTCATTAGTAATATTTTCTTAATAGGTACTATCCATGAATAATTTTCAAGCTAGTTTACACTACTCAAATCACAATACAAAAAGATAGTGAATATTAAACCAGAAGCTAAAGCCATTATATAACCCAAATGTAAAGCACTGCGTCGTTCGCGAAGATATCTGTAAATGAAATAAAATACAAGTGAATAMCAAATCAATGTAAATAAATATATATTTTAACTTACGTTTGTTTTACCGGTGAAAAAGGTGAAGGAGGATTTAAACCTGGCACGTCGCTATCCAAATACACAAGCATATATGAAAAAAATGCTAAACAAATGCCACATATCATAGGACTAAATGTGGCATATAACCGATGCTCATGCACCCATTTAAAAACCTYCTGCATTTCTATTTGCGCCATCCTGTTGATGTCAAAAATACTCTGGGTTTCGGCGAAGTGTTCTATGAAAATGAGATGATAATTAAGAACGGATATGCTTGAAAAAAGTAAAAAAAAAAATTATAATAATTTTGAGTCTTGTCAACCTGTACACGTTATCGGTTTACTTTTTATTTGTCATTCTTAATGCGTATTATTTTTGTCTATATTATCCAATCCGGTATGACCTTACTAGCTATACGAAGCTAGTTGAAAAATAATTACGCTAAAGTGCATATGTACATACATATATTATATGTAAATGCAATTATATATTCCCACTTATGGTATATATGCACATACATACATATGTATATTAACTGTATTAGTAAAAKACATTTCCGACTCTTTAAAGATTGAGTGTTCATAAAATATATCTACGTAGGTACATACATACATATGGTGAAAGGGTAAACTGTATTAAATTGTTGAAAACACAAGCTTATCCGACGGCATAACCTTTGTTTCTACAGCGAGAGTGAAAACAAAATTAATGATTAATTATATTCTGCAAATATAACTAAACACATATGGACATCCGATGAGTACATATGTATGTACGTACTTGGGTTAATATTCAATAGGAAGCGTTGATGATAGGGGTATATGTTAGATCATCGAAACTCTTCGCTATTTATATATCAATAATATTTATTAATGTACGTATGTAGATGAATGTACACTTATTCCGCTATATACATATGTACATACGTACATACTGTGTACGTCGTTAACTTGCAAAAGACGTTGGAAGCTTTCAAATAAAGCCAATAGTCCCAAAAAGGGCTGTTGAAATGATCTTGGATCAGATAATAATGCCAGAAATGTTAAGAAAATTACATACCTGCGACTATAACCATTTTAAATCATAAACAAACTTTATATTTTAACAAATTTATATCCACAAATGCTAAGAAAAGCAAAATTTCTAACTGCTGCCAATTTCAATTATTTTAAATTTTTCACTTCAATTTGGCCACTTATCACTTAAAATTTTAAAACTAGTTGAAAATTATTTTTTATTCACTACTAAACGTTTTGTCCGATGGACAACGTTGATTCTCCTTTCGTTATTGGTATCAGCTAAAATAAATTTGAATCTGTTAGTGCACTAAATGATAGATATTTCAAAGTAAAGCAAACGATAGAATCATCGTTTGTGACGTCACCACATTTGTTTTGGAACAGAGCGCAGCACACAAAWTCTCTCTACAAACATTTTTTTTTGCATGAAGCGCAATGATTATACTCTTTGTCGGACTTAATATACTATGTATATTGTACATATGTTTTGTAAGCATTCTCCACTAAACATTTGTATACATTTTACAAATTTTTTTAATTACTGCCAGAATCAAAAATAAACACGAAAAAAACAAGTAAAATACAATGCATTCTCTCTATCTAATACATTAGCTGTTCTACAAATCAAGGTGCTATATTCATAAACTAAAATGACAATTAGTGACGTCACATACAAATTACGACGTTAGAAAAGTGTTGTAAACTTCCAATACTAAGTACATAATAAATAAATCTTAGCATGGTGATTTCTGATAATATAAAGGCAGCCTTGCGATCAATATAACTATTATAGGATAGTTGTATGTCTCAATATTTCAAATGAAAATATTTCAAACTAATTAAGTTACGTTGGTTTCCCTTCAGTTAACTTTCAGACATGGGTAGAATTGGAAGAGGCAATACTGTTTCTTCGTTTTAAATGATGTTGTTGGGGGTTGGTACAACATATAGTTTATAAAATACCACATGTTGCTTGTTGCAAGTACAATAAAGAAAACACTAAAAGCTGTACATACATACATATGTAATTTAAATCTGTTATGCACTATTCCCCAAGCGAACATTCACACCAAATTGACTTTATTGTCAAGTTGTGTCTGTTGTCCGGAAGTGCAATAAAGGCAGATTACTGTACACGGCATGCTGGGAGATACATACCTATTCGCGAATTATTGTCAAAGACCAAGCTTTTAAATGATTTGAGTATTTTAAATAAAAAGGAAAGACATATCGAAACATTAAAAGTTAAAGTACAATTAAAAAATGAAGTTTGGCGTGATTTAAATGTGAAGTTTAAATAATGCAGAGAAAAATATATTAAACTTTATTAACAAATTTTTTTTACCAACAACTACTACAATACCATTATTTATTCGGATATAAGTATGTATATTTTAAATTTGCAATGTTAAGTGAAAATAATTAGATAATAAAACAATGGAATTTGAAATTACAGCTAATTTTAAGATATTAGACTTCCAGAAGCAGTCCTTATTGATTTTTCACACAAATACCTTTGTATACACCGATTTGTTTAAGCGCATTAAAAATATATGTATGTATGTATATACATACATACACACATACATACATACATATGTATACAGATATGCACCATCGCAAATTGAATTAAATTTTGGTTTTTTCTCAATGTTTCTCTACGAAATATTCCTTCTTTTAGTTTCAAATTTATTGTTAATTAGGGAGTATTTGAAAATATTTTTGAGATATTTCTCCTTGTTTAGGTTTGTAAGTCATGCCATTTTTCGATGAACTAAAGGATTGTGAAGATACAAACAAAGATCTTTCAAAGGAGTTCAGACATCATGTGTCTGAACAAGTGAAACTATATGAGGCTAGCATGAAAGGATCAAGTTCACCAGCTAAAATAAGCATTAACAAAAACAACAATATACGCCATGTGGTGCCAGTAGGTGTATTTATTGTATTTTTTACATTGTATTTAACAACAACAGCAATTCAATTTAAATACGTGAATTATGCTAATCCAGAAGATGAGAAAAATAGCGATTTTGGCAATACTTTAAAATACCAAGAAATTCAAGCAGAGGTAACAACTAAACGAATAAAAATACTTGAAAAGCTATTGGAATACAAAGACCTGTGCACTGAGTTAGAAGTTTTTACAAAGGACTTGCGTTGGGTAGACGAGATTATCGAAAAAGAAAACCAGTTAAAGGAAATTGATACTGAATGTGAACCAACTGAAGAATCGGTTTTAATAAATTTAAATGTTGAGAATGGTGAAAACCACGATCAGAAAGARTCAAAGCATAGAGAAATAGTTGATTTACAACAAACTAATAAAGATAATAGCGAAATTGCGCCACAAATCAATAATAAAAATGTTAAGAATGGTAACAGCACGGTCATCAACAATAATAATAAAAAAGATCAATCAACGGCAAAAAAATCAAACACTGCAGAACCCATCRTCTATATGTTTGCATTGGTGTTTATATATTTGCTTTTAAAAGCCGCTTCAGACATAAATCAGCATTACAAATCGGTAAGTTTGTAGACGTTCTATAACGGAGGAGTTATAAACTCATTTGCGTCACTTAATTATTTATGTTTTCCAGCAAAACAAAGGCGACAAAAGGTTACGACGTTGCTCCTTGCAATCTTACGCTCAGACTCATAAACAAGACCGTCGAGCTTCAAAAGGTACATCAT